TATTTTAACATCGCCCTATTTTCTTTATAAAATTCTACTAACTCTATGTACACCCCAAAAAATAAAAGAGCCTTTCACATCAGTTGTTTACTTTTATAATGTACTCAACTAAATCTATTTACAGATAAATGGAAAAACAAAAATTCTGTTTTATGTCTTGTGTGCTGTGTATTACAGGCCAACAGAGAAACTTTCTAGTGATAACCGGAATCCATAACCCTTTTGCATCTTCTGAGAATAAATAAAAAGAGTAGGCAGCATGTGATAAGTATTATGATGGGTTTTGTGAGAGTAACTTTAGAGACGGTATTGCGCTATAGACGCTGAAGTTTTAGGGTGTTATGGAGTGTAAATTTACTAGTCTAGGGAGGTAAGTCATCTGTCAACATATAGTGGATGTTGTAAGTGTCTATATTTGGAACTTTATAATTGACACCACTTTGAGAGAAAAGCATAATCATTAGCTTGATCTTACTTTATGTGCAATATTCGCACATCAAATATGAAATTTAAATGGTTACTGAAGCTGAATAGACAATTTTATTTTCAGGAAATGCACCTTGGTGATGGTATTTAATGGATTATCTGTGTAATGCTTTTTTTCCCCCTCTCCGAACTTGTATGATATTTACAATTCCGTGACGGAAAAGCTTCACTTGCACCAGTTATTGCAATATCTACTATTTGAAGGGGAATCAGAAATTGGAAGATTAACATGCATGAAGTGTTGAAGTTCATATGAGATCATTTCATATGTTTGACTTAATTATTTTTAGAAGAAATGTCACGTTGACTTCTAATCTTATTTTGAAGTTCTTTTACATTTTTTAGATAGCAGTTCACAGTCCTTCATGAACTTTTCATTATAAACTTTAGTAATAAGTTTTTATGCAGGTGAACAATATTAGTGGCTATCTTCCTGGGCGTATTGTCTTTTTCTTGGTATGTTGATATGAGTAGCATTATTTCTGTCTACAGAAACCTGTTAATTACATTATGTACTTGATAAATGTCTGTTTAAGCACGTCTGGCAGTAAGTGTGCCAGGTCCTCTGTGTTATTTCATGGAAACACCTGAGTCCTTTAGATGTCATCCAGGTGAATACACACCTAACACCTCGTCCAATCTGCTGACGAGGCATGGAGAAAGTCGAGACAATGTCAGGGGCAGGATTGGGGGTGATTCTGTTTTGAGGTTTGGCCTTATGCGTTCTTATTCATTTTCATACAAATACTAAGGATATATATAACTTGATTGACAATCTTCCATCAATATTATGTAGTCGTGTTTCTTTTTCTGTGAATGCAATCTCTTTACTTATATAAATTTATCCTGAGCTTGGAACAGCAAGTTTGGCTTGTATGAGTTTTTCTATGTGAAGAACTAGATGCTTTATGAGAAGACCGTTGGGTTAATAGATGAAAGTACAAGAGGATTTTGGCCCTGTCTGCCTCTAGGAATGAGTTCATCTGTAGAATAGGTCGAAAATGAACTCTGTAAAGCTTGAATTTCATTATTTGGGTGTTGAACCATATATAATGCTCTTGTACTGTTGCTTTTAATTAAATCTTAGATACAACATCCTCTGAGGCTGAAATTGTCCTAGCATGTTTACTTGAGTTTTTGCCGTCTCTTTAGAAATATCCCCACCTTCATGGGAACTATTCTTGGCAGCTTGACATTGAGAACTAATCTATTAAATTCTCATTGCTGTGTAATATGATACCATCATGTACTGCTTTTTCAACTAGAAGTTATGTTACTTTCTCATAAACAATAGCTGTCCTAAATTGGCTGCTAGCGTAGGATTAAGAACCTTTTGTTATTATTGAAGTACATGTTAATCTTTGACCATAGTTGACATAATGTTCTAATAGTATGTTTCAAGTGTATATAGTATTTCAATCTGTTAAAGGTTGCTCCTCCTGTAAGAACATTGGCGTTTGTGGACAAGGATTTTGTCTCTAGTCTGATATGATTGGATTGATTGCTTCACTGTTAAATATTCATGACGTCTTATTTTCTTCATGTGACAAATATGTTCTCATACCTGCTTTTTATGACAGCGATACTGGAGAGGTTTATGCTAAGAAACTAGCTAATTTTGGGAAAAGCGTCTGAAAAAATGAAAGAGCGCTTCTGTAAGTTCTGTTATTCCCCTTATATGTTGCTTCTAATTCAATGGAAGTTGAACCTATCAATGCAGTTTTAAATTGTTCTGCAATGAACATTCGATTTCTTTTTCCTTTATCGAGCTCTAACTTCATCGCTAGTACACTGTTGAAGTAGTTTTTTTGTGATTGACTTTTAAATGTTTCAATGTTTCTTGGGGCTCAGTCAGTAGAAGAAGGTGTTTGAAGCTTAATGTTGGCATGGTGATGTGACATGAGTATTGACACCGCATTTCTTTCTATTGTGGCTCAGATATGGACCAGCACATTTGCCAGAGAACAATTTTGACTGCTAATCCAATTGTTGGATTTCCCAAGGTTAGCATGTGTGTGGAAACCAAAAAAGGCAGTTTTCTCATCCCTAGGAAGAACTGTGTTATGTAAAGAAGTTTGGTAATCATGATATTTTGCCTTGAGAGTTCTGCCAAGAGTTTTCTCATTTTTCCCATCTTTGTTTTAGATACAATGGCGTGCACTTGACGAGATAAATGCAGGTGTATGCGATGGGATGACATATGAAGAAATTAAGAAAAACATGCCCGACGAGTATGAGTATGCCTTCTGAGAATTTTATTTTTTTCTTAAAGTAATCGTATACATAGAATTCAATAGCAGGTTGTGAAAATGCATAATCCGATTGGACATTTTAAACCATTTGTGTTTGATGTCTTGCTGACAAAGCTCTGTTCTCGTGGGTTTATGTAATAGACTGTTAGAAACAGAATTAGGGTCTTCTTCCTGCAAATAATGCCCAAGGACACAACTTTCTGGAACCGTATTTGCTCAAAATCTGTATCTTTTGTATGCTGAATTTTTATAAGGCTCATGGCATTCAATCAATTACAGGTCACGAAAAAAGGACAAGCTGAGATATAGATACCTCTCGTGGCGAGTCTTACCTGGATGTTATACAAAGGTGTCACTCTCAAATTTAATGAGTCATCTGATTATTTAAGCACTCAAAACTTGTTTTTATGCTAGTTCAGTTGACTCTCAACTCATTGCAGGCTAGAGCCTGTGATTATTGAGCTTGAACGACAACGGGCACCTGTTGTGGTGATATCTCACCCAGGTTATACGTGGGGACATTAAGTTGCATAAACGCTTAAACATAGACTCGTCCTAAAAGCATCGACTTACTTTCTTTGTAAAATTCTATTGTAGGCGGTACTGAGAGCTTTATTGTATTTTGGCGGATAGACCATTGAAGGAAATCCGCACATAGAGGTGCTTATGTTTATAAATATGATTCTATGCTTATCATAGAATCATGGAATAGCATTCATGAAATATTTTGGCAAATTGGTTTATATCTCAAGTTTTGCTGGTGAGGCTAGTACATACTTAGATTTGGAATTTAATTGGTTTTGCATTTTCAGGTGCGCTTCACACAATTATAGAGATACAAATGGGAGTTAGTGGTGTCCAGGAAAAAGATACAAGCTCATGTAGTTTAGGTTCTATTAGGAAGTTTTTGCCTGACTTTTGCTACTCATGATGCTTGTCAAGGCTTCATTCCTTAAAACTCTTATTGATGCGGATGCCTATAGCGTCAATTGTTTTTGAGTAGCGATTCAATTTTCTCAAATAGCGATACGGGTATAATCATGAATTTTGTCTTTGGACTACTAAAAAAAATAAAGGGAAAGAAGAACTGTCCTTTGATTCCATTTCTCGTGCTATGTTCTTCTATCCCCTGTTTATGGCTTTTGCTCGTACTTATTTCTAATTAAGTCTTGGTTATATGATACTGCTAGAGATATCTCTTTTTCTTTATACTTGTGTGTTTTTTCACGAGCATATATATATATATAGTGAGCCTACAGAGGTAAGAAAGGGACCATAGGTGATGGGACTCGTTGCAGCATATGGACTAGACGTAGAACTCCCCTCTCCTCTCCATCTCCCAAAGAATTCAGCTACAAAGCTGGTCTATACATTTATATTAAACGAGGCAAATGAGTGGCCAGGTTTCTGACCCAAAGTAAGAATGCGTAGAGAATTTAGGTTCGAATGGGCTGCTGCTTACTGTGTGCCGTATACCTGCTAGCCAAAGTTTGAAACTGTTTTGGGCTCGTTTGAAAAAGTGGTTGAAAAATGTGTTCACGAAAAATATAAACTTTTCTGCAAAAACTCACATCCAAAATAAAAATTTTTCTGCAAAGGTTGGTTCCCTTTTATTTTGGCCGTTGATTTGATTGCACTGTGTCTCACCAATAAGCTTAGAAAAGACACCGCCAACGAATCTGATTTCCTCAAATCCCCGTACAGTAGGAGCAATTCCTAACTGCAGCCGAAGGAGGAAACCTTTGGTCAACGACCCGAAATCCTAAATTGGTGGGTCGCCAGCTGTTCGTGTTCGATACGAGTGGTCTTTGCCTTTGACTGAGGTCAGAGGTCGCGAGGCACCCGCACCAAAGTTGAGCAAATCCGTCTTTGCCTAAAACATGCACCAAAACCTGGACGTAGCCACCAAGCAGCAGTAACTGTGGGTGAGAGGGAGGGATATAGGCTTGCCGCACATTAGGAAGGAAGGTATTAGGAGGGCGGAGGACGTCAAAAGTCGTTGGGCCTCCGCTCTTTGTTTTGCCCAATTCACAGGGAGAACCCCTGAGCAGGGCCCCTGTTTCTGAAATTAACGATAGACACTAATAAGATAACACAAATTATTAGGCGCAACGCACATATCTTCTGTATTATAGACTACATGCATGGATTTGGGATCACCTCGCGGGATAAAATGATATACTAATACTACTAGTAGGTGGGAATAATCCAGTTTTATATTGCATGGTAGTAGTAGTATAAACCAAAAGTACTGACCTGTGGCTGCCGTCGCCTTCACGAGACCTTTATTTCAGGTCCCTTTGCCATTTTTCATGCATCCGACTCCCTCTCTGGTCTCTAACCTCCTTGGTCTAAGGTTCTCTTTTGACCTTGTGAACTGATCATATCAGAAAAAATACTAATTGTCCGACAGCAATCCAAGGGCACAGTCCCCTTTTGTTTAATTCGTTCACCATAACTTTAAATTCACGCAAACGCGTACGTGATTCCATAATTGATAATGCTACTAGGAAGGAAAAGTTGGACGAGATCCCGTGCCTTTTCCTAAATTCTTCCCGATAAACCCTCATTCATACTTTCCCCGGAAGCTCTACTGCGCACGTACCATAGAATATCACTCACATCGTTCACTCGGCCCTTTTTAACCTAAACCAGCATGTTCGATACGGCATCCACAAGGTCAAACTCCATTAGCAATCCGGTGAACAATTTAGTTCATGGCATCCTCTCCCACGACAGTAATGTCATGCTCGCCGCGGTCATCTCATTGCTTCTGGTGATTCTCTTTGTCTTACTGCTGCATGTGTATGCTAAATGGTTTCTAGTAAAAGCCCGTCAAAGGAGTAGAAGGTCTGTTTCGGTTCCACAAGTTTTAGGAGCTCGTTTTCATCACTTTCCTTCGATCCTGGTTGACACCACAGTTAATTCTGCTGCCTCCCCGACGATGGGTCTCGAATCTTCGGCCATTTCTTCCATACCGCTTTTTGTGTTCAGAGCTGATGACGACGACGACGACGAGCATAATAAGCATGGACGACTGAGTGAATGCGCTATCTGTTTGAGTTCGTTCGAAGATGAGGAAATGGGAAGGAAACTGCCCCGGTGCAGCCATGCGTTTCACGTCGAATGCATTGATATGTGGTTGCATTCTCATTCAACTTGCCCAATTTGTCGTTGCCCAGTACTGACGTTCGAGATCGTAAATCTCCTGATCAGTCCAAATTGTTAGGGGACGGGAGGCCGTTGATCGAGAAATAGCTGAAACAATAATATTGTTGGATGAAGTGGCCGCCGAAATGAGTGAAGACCAGACCTCATCAAGGTTGGAGATTATAGTCGAGGAGGTTCCTAATACAGAGAATGGAAATAATTGCAGGAAAGACATAAATTCCGTGTGCTCGACATCGTCGGCCCCAGTCAAACGCACATTTGGTCGTCGTCGGCGACTCCTTAAAGAGAATTATGAGCAGCAGGAGTAGATCTGAACGTCAGGTCCATCCTCTGCCTCTGGGGGGCCACTGAATTGGACTTGTGATGCAAGAAGTCTTTAAGGGTTCTATCCATGGGATAGTGGTAATGATCGAGGAGGGCAATCGTATCCTACCTTTTGAAATGTTTTCCGTTTTGGGTTTGAACGAACGAGTCTGCTTCATAATGGTTCTTCTTGTCAATTTCTGTTTCTTAATAATAATAAGGCACTGTTTGGATTGAAGGAAAGAGAATGAAAGGAAAGGAGAAAAAGAAAGAAGTGCAGAGGAAATCGGAGTTCATCCATATTATTTGAATCGCAGAAGGAAAGGAAAGACAATTATCACGAATTAGCTGCGTTTTTACTCATAATTTAAAAGTTTAATTTATAAACACATAATAGGTTTTTTCAGGAAATTTTATAGGAATAATTTTCATTAAATTTGGTGTATTTTTCCTTCGTTTTCCATCCACTCTTGGACAAAAAATAATTAGATTTTATCCCTTCCTCAAAAACCAATCCAGACATTAAAAACCTTATCCCTCCATTTCCGTCCAATTCTCTCGGAGCAAACACAGCCTCAGGCCAAATAAAATCCCAACATAACCCGTGGAGCTACAGGCATTGTTTATCAAGGTATGGCTCAAATTCAGGTGCAGCTATCAAGAAATTATTTGCGCCGTCAAATTAGTGTTCGAATATATTCCAGTTGCGTGCGTTGCGATACAGTAATTAATTTTCTGCTTCACAATCTGAATTAATCATCCGACACCGACACAGCGAGCTAACAATTGCAGTGATTCAATATATACGTACTTTAAACCGGGGAGGGAAGGCCAAATTGCCGGTGAAATTTTTCCGAGCTTGTGATTGGACCTAAATTAATGGGCTTTGTGGCCCACTATGCACATTGGGCTCAGAATCATTTAAAGTGGAGTATGGAATTAATTGGGTTACATACCGCATTTTCACCTAAAAAAAACACTACTATGTTGGATTACAAAAGGAATGAGCGGTTTTCTTACTGTTTTACTGAATGCAATAAATTTCATGCTAAAGTGAATTAGATGCCCCTTGCTTGATTTTTAGAGAACCAGTTTTGAAGATGGAAATAATTGGTATGCGTTTTCCACTTTGAGCAAATGTAATGACCGCTTCCGCTTCGATATGAGAGAGACTAACACCACAGGTTGGGTCATCGTGTGTACATAATATAACTTGTAAAGTTCTCCTTATGGTTACTTTTAACAGCATCTGATCATGAGATATGAAACTTTCAAAAATTATGATATCCTCCATCTAAGATAAACTCCTGTAAATTTTATTCATAGAAACAGAGATTTTTTTTTTTAAAAAAAAAAAAAAGAGTAAATTGAGAAGAAGAATTTTTTTTTTTTTTTTTAAAAAAAAAAAAGGAAGGCCATGCGTAGAATTTTTACATTTATGCAGCAATTAGTAGCGAAGCAGTGGTAGAAGAAGAAGAAGGACAGAGGTTGGATCGACAAAGAGGACAGCTTGCCTTGTTTTGCAGCCATTTATCAACGCATTCAGAATGGAAGACATGCATGCATCCGGGAATCACCTTTACCCTTTCATTTTCTTCGAACAAAGCCAAGCAGATTGAGCACTCGTTATTATATTCTCCAACCCTAGTACTGCTGCTGCTACCACTGCACCTTCCAACTCAGAACTACTACTACTTACCATAGCAGTGGTACTGCGCAATGAGCTATGCAAGAAAACGGGCAAGCTATTGATTGTGGCTTCATCAAGTCCCTTGTTGTTGTTCTGAGCCATCGAAACGCCAATTATTCCCCCGACTCCGAGTACTGCAGTATAAGCACTGGTACTTGTGCGGCCGGACGACGATGAAAACTGGCGATGTTGGCGAATAAAATAGAAGAAAAAGATGGTGATGAGGATTGTGATGGACAAGGCTAGAATGGCGATGATGGCTAAGCTGTGATTGTGAAACTGCAGACTCAGGTTGAGGTCAGAGAGATACCAATTATGTGTACTAGAGGCCGGTTCTACATCGTCTTCCAAGGCCATAAATTAAAAACTCTCAACTTACTGCTACTAATCAACGAACTGGATGGAAGGAGGTTGGAAGCGTTTTTGAAAGAGAGATCAGATATGAAGAAGAACAAGTACTGGTGTAGTTACTGGGATGGACATGGAGAGATTTGAGTGAGTTATGGAAGTTATGGGGATCGAAGTATGGGGCGCCAGTACTCTTTAATTGTATATCACAGGCACAACCTCATCTTCTTTTGCTTGTTGATTGGTGAGATAGCATTTGTTATCAGTTGGCCAGTAATGGTTTCGAGTTTCAACTGCATGACAACTCACCATCCCAGGAAGCCAGTAACTTTGCCTGTAAGGACTTGGATGGGTAATCAGCCATTCGGCCCCAATTTTCTGTATCTTTTTCGACCCTTGAATATTTGGAAGCTTTTAGACAGAAAGCTCTTATATACTAGCCAGAAGAATTTTATAGACAGAAATGTTTTGAAAATTTTACATGGAATGCAACTTTTTAATTAGTACACGATTTATGGATTCATCCCTATATATCTTCGGGCTTGTTCTCAACTACTCTTCATCTTGTAAAAGCTGATTTTCTACAATTGATTCTTAAAAATTGGATTTCTGAGAACAACTCATGTGTTCTCATTTCTTGTTAAAAAAAAAATCTATTTAAATAAATGCATGGGTTCTAGAAAAAGTTGCAAAGCTTATTTTGATTATTTAATGACCAAATTGCTCTTATACGCTGCAGGGATAGACTTCAAGTGTTTTAGTGATTATCTTAAAATTTGATGATTTTTTTTGTTAGCAAGCAAAAGTAGACCAAAATCAAAATTTCAAAACGACATAAGACTTGCTTCTAGTTATCAGCTTTTTTAGGCCAAATAGTGTAACATCATCAGAGCACAAAAGATTGTTGAGAATACCAAAAAAATAGTTTTTTGAAATTCAAAAGGTAAATTCATATCTGCGGAATCAATTGAGAATACAACCATTTTTTGTCTGCTTACGTGACTACCTACTAGTACAAATCAAGACTCAAGAGGGTACGTCAAAAAGTCATCGAGGCCAAATAGTCTAACATCAAAATCATACAAAATTATGCTAAACATTATAAGAATTACAATAATTGGATCAAATTGGACAGAATCAACTAGAGAGGTCCTTTTTTTTTTTTTTTACCTAGGGGTGTCCGGCCTTACGGGCCCAACTAATCCCTTAGGGTCCGAGGGAAGGCGTCCAACCTGAACTCCGAGCGAGGTATATTTGGGATTCAAACCGTGGTCGACATACATATTCTAAAGAGGGAGACCGAAACCAGTCGAGCTATCCTAGGAGGGGCAACTAGAGAGGTCCTGATCTATTAAAAAAGTAACTTAATGGGAAGGTAGAATTTTATGGGTACTGGTTACATAAGCCTTCTTACAATTAAGGACGCAAAAGTGTTTTGGTAGATAACTAATCCTGCACTTAAATATTACTACTGCACAACATCCTCCAGACATCACCCTGAGTAATGTTTGATTGGGCATGGAAGAGATCTGCCATAATGTAATTGAATCCCTCTCGCAACTGTGCTCTATGTCCACAAAACTCCCATGACTTTATGAGGATTAACGAATTTAGTTTGGCTCTAGGTTAGTGATTCTGTTTCGTTTGACTCCTGCAAATCGTAGTATTGCCTAATAAAAAGGTGCTGAAAAATACCTAATAAAAAGGTGAAGGTAATTGATCAACTTTAAGTAGACATGTGTTTTACAATAGTTATGGTCAAGTTGTCAAATGATCAAAAGTAATACTAAACGACCTTGAAAGATTTCGCCCATTCACTCAACTGTATCAATAATTGCATACTGAAACGTCAGAGAAATTTATCTAACTTTTACCATGCTTTGATAATCATTTTTTAGCATAAATTTAGACTGTATTTCAGTTCAAAAAGTTCAATTCCAGTTAATGTTATTTTCCAGGAATTAATTTCGACCCGATGATAGAATTGGAGATCAAACAATTCGCCATGCATAATCAAGCCAAAAAAAATTGGAAAAGAAAAAGAAGATGGACATTTAGAAGCTCAACCACGACCAGTTCTCAACCTTGGCAATATACATTGACATATTAGACATTTTAATTACACTCAAATTTCGCTATATATTAACTAAATGTGCATTGGATGTGTAAGCGACACCTAAGAAAATATTCACTATCAATGTTACACTTCATCATAGCTGCCGATCTCTCTCTCTCTCTCTCTCCTAATAGACATTACGATAATGTTATACAGCCCAATTCGAACCAATCGGTCGAACCAATTGAACCGTCAACCGCCTTCACCGTCCAGTTCGACCATTGAACTGTTGACCCGAAATGGTTTTGTGAGAATCGGCTGGTTCAATATCCAACCTTAATTAAATCAATAATTTTGAATTTGGTCAACTAATTTCATTAATGACATTCCAAATTTAATATTTTACCAATTATCCATGCATAATTATCTCCAATTAATTGGGCAACAACAATCACTGCTTTATTCTACTCATTTCTCTTTCTCCTCCATATTTACATATTAACTCTTGTTTAACATTTATAACATATAATTGAATATATTAGTTTTTTTTAAAATCTTGAATGCATTTCATTTATTTGTTAATACCTTTTAAGTGTTTCAATTTTTATCATATAAACTAGTACTCATATAATTTAGAAAATTTAAAAATATATGAAATAATACTATTTAAAATCCTTTAACTAAAAAAGCTAGTTTTGAGTTTCAAACAAATAATATTACTTAGAATAATAGAATGAGAATTGAAGTGATTACATTTGACCATATGGCTTAAGTTTCTACAAATATTTGTTTATTTTTTAGATGTTTAATATTTATTAATAATATTTATGATATCACGAGTTAATAACGGTCAATTCAATGGTTGAACCAGTGATCTTTGACCCATTCGTTTTTCTGGGTCTATAAATGGTTTGGGTTTTCAAAACCTTGCATTACGACTACTAATCCGACTTCACTACTTTTAATTGTTACGAATACTCCATACAATAATGACTACGTTTGAAGTGGGGAATTTGACTAATGATTTCAAATCCTCCGAAATCCTTCTAATTATTTACATTATTTAGGGGGTATTTAGATTTATAAATTGTATATTATTCTTGTATCTAATATATACTATAATAATTGTTATATTGTGAATTCAAATACTTATTAAGCAATTCAAATAATCAACGATTTGGATGAATTTCAAATCATTCGTCAAATTCTTCAATCCAAATAAAT